GGCAAGACAGCACAGGCTTGCATGCAGAAGAGTGGCCTGATCATCTTGGAGGATGGAGCCTGGGGATAATGAGCCCAGCGGGGAGAGGCTGAGGCTTGAACTAAAGCAGGCCTGCGCTCAGGCAGAGAGGAGCACGTGAACTCCAGACACTGATGGGGCCCAGTCAAATCAGATGGCAGAAGCAGTGTCTGGGTTATGTGACCACAGGCATCTAGTTTAAGTGACTTTGTGATTGTTGTTAGGTGTCCCCAAAGCCTGAGTGAAGGTTTTGAGAATGGGAAGTTTATTTAAGAGGTGACTCGAGGAAGCAGGACTTCTCCATCTGTGAAATGGGACAGGGAAGCAGGGAATGCAATTGAGGAAGCATCACTTCCCAGCTGGGAAATGGGACAGGGAGGCCAAGGATGCAGTTGAGGAAGCATCACTTGCCTAGTTGGGAGGGGAGACAGGGAAGCGGAGGAGCCATTGAGGTTCATCAGTGAGCAGGGGCTGTGGGCAATCAGGGCCCCACCCACGCAGGCACCTCTGGGGGACAGAATAGAACTCACTCAGGTGTCTGCGAGGAAGCGAGGTAACATTGGCCTTGTCATTAACTGAGGGCTGCTCCTGGGGGTGTTAACTGCTGAGGGCTGAGCACACACCTGTGCCCAGGGATAGCTGCAGACAGAGGCCCAGGTGCTGGGTGTTGGAAGCTGTCCAAGTGCAGGGGAGACCTGCATGGCACACAGTGCCGCCTACAGGGACACGAGGAACACGAGCAGCAAATTAAAGCACCAGGTTGTCTTTGTGCCTTGTTGGTCATAAGACAGTGAGGCTGGACCAGAGGATGGGACAATCTGGGTTTTTTTAAATCACCATATGCCCAGTTCCTAAGCCCATGCCTGGTACCTTTGGGGCTCTCAGAATGATTGGTCTTGCCACCAACCATGGCCTGTGGGCAGGAACTTCATCCCTGTGCAAACACTGAAGGCCCTCCTTGGCCTGCTCTTCCCTTGCCTTCCAGCCAGGAAAGCATCAGAGAAGGCTTCCTGGAGGTGTCTGAGCTGAGGCTCAAAGAATAAGGTGAGTAGCCAGGTGCAGAAAGGTCAAAAGAACACTCCAGATTGAGGAAAGAGCCAGATGTGCAGACCAATGTGTCAGGTTCTAGCCCCAACTGAGCCCCAAGGAGGGTGGTTAGATGGATGGGTAGCTGGAAAAACACTCGAGCAAGGGGCGGGGACTGTAAGCAGGTCAATGTGGTTTTACTCAGCAGCTCTCTCATCAGCAGCTCTCTTACACTGTCCATTCTGTCTCAGCTGCTTGAGCCAGCTGCTCCCACACACAGCTGCACAGCCAGCTCTCCCTGGCCTTCAGGGTAGCAGCTTAACTCTTTCTCTCCCTCAGCAGGACTGTGAGCCGTGCATGCGTGCCGTGCTGAGCCCTGCCCTGGCTCCCCCCTGTCCATCTGCAAGATGGACAGCTCTGGTTCTCTCTCTTTCTGTGGGCACCAGCGCCTGCAAAAGAGCGATGTGGCACCATGCCTAAGAGCCCCTGTTCAGTGTCAGCAGGGCAATTATACCTTTCCAAATAATAGCGGCTCCAAGCCAAGTTACTTACACAAACAGTTCTATAACAAGTGGAGTATGCATCTGCACACCGAAACGCGCTGAGTCATTCTGGCCCAGATGTTCGCCTCGGCCTATTCCTTGACCAGAGCACATCCATGTACCTTACAGAATATCTCTTGCTTTTGCCAGTGCCAGGGATAGAAGGCGACTTTCTGTCCTTCTGCTTCCTTTCCAGAGTGCCCCCACCTTCTCTGACAACCTGAAACGCCCCCTTCTTGGTGTCCCCTCAGGACTCCAGCTCAATCTTCTGTGTTTGCTAGTTTCAAAAGAATATCTGTGAGCCCTCATCCAGAAAGGGTACATGCGGAATAGGGAGGACCCCAAACCCAAATCCCAACAGACCATTGTTAGGAGTGATTGAAAATAGTGAAGGATGGCCGGGCGCGGTGGGTGGCTCACACCTGTAATCTCAGCACTTTAGGAGGCCAAGGTGGGTGGATCACAAGGTCAGGCATTTGAGACCAGCCTGGTCAATGTAGTGAAACTCTGTCTCTACTAACAATACAAAAAATTAGCTGGGCGTGGTGTCGGGCACCTGTAATCCCAGCTATTCAGGAGCCTGAGGCAGAAGAATGTCTCGAACCTGGGATGCAGAGGTTGCAGTGAGCTGAGATCACACGACTGTACTCCAGCCCAGGTAACAGTGCAAAACTCCATCTAAAAAATATATAAAAAGAAAGAAAACCACGGGGGAGTCATGGAGGGGTAGGGGGCGGGCTTCCCTGGCAGTTAGGGAAATAGAAGTGTGGCCCACTTGGGCCCGTGTCCTGCACTGAAGATGCAGGGGCCGAAGGCTGTGGGAGGCCCCAGCAGGTAAGTCCTTGGTGCAGGTTTGGGTTCTCCCAGAAGCAGCTCTGAGAACGAGTTAGGAGTGCAGAAGTTTCACTCGAAGGTAGCCCCGGGGAAGTGACAAGGATAGGAGAACTGGGCAGGAGGAGCTATGATGCCACAGTGCCCCTGGCAAAGTCTCAGCAAGTCCAGCGGAGAGCTCTGGAGAAGCTTGTGCATTACAGGAGCTTCCCCACTGGGCGGAAATGGCAGGGCCCTTGGATTGCCTCCTTGCCCCAGTCATGGGCTGGGGGTCACTCTGAAACAGTATCACCCGCTTTGTGAACATATATACAATAGGAAGGTTAAACTGAAGATTTAAAAAAAGATCAGAATTCTTTTAAATTTTTATTTATATTTTAAGTTCCAGAATACATGTGCAGGATGGGCAGGTTTGTTACACAGGTAAACGTGTGCCATGTGGTTTGCTGCACCCATCAACCAATCACCTGGGTATGAAGCCTCCCATGCATTAGCTATTTTTTGCTAATGCTCTCCCTTCCCCCGCCCTGCCCCATGACAGGCCCCAGTGTGTGTTGCTCTTTCCCTGTGACCGTGCGATCTCATTGTTCAGCTGCCACTTATAAGTGAGAACATGTGGTGCTCGGTTTTCTGTTCCTGCGTTAGTTTGCTGAGAAATATTCACAATAGCAAAGACATGGTATCAACCCAAATGCCCATCAATGATAGACCAGACAAAGAAAATGTGGCACATTTATTATATACACCATGGAATACTATGCATCCATAAAAAAGAAGGAGATCATGTTTTTTTCAGGGACATGGATGGAGCCGGGAGACAGGAAATTTTAAGAGAATGAAGAGAGATTTTTTTTGTTCCAGGAAATTCTTTTAAGGGCTAAACATTGAATTTGTCTGAGAGCTTCCTGGCAGCCATTATGAAAAGAGAAAAAAACATAGGTTATGAAGTTCTTTGTTTTATAATAGAAAATATGTATCCCACGAAAGAAAGAAATAGCTTTCTACTCCAAAAGTCTAGTTATTTTATCCCATGGATATTGCATTTTGAACTTTGAGGAAATAGTAGAAGTATTATACTTAATGCATGAAACAGAAACATTACTCATTCAGTTGCTTTCTCATTTACGCTTAATAAATGCTGGGGAAAGCATTAAATTATAGTTTATAAAAAAGGCGGTCTGAAGCAGTTTTTAGTACCCTGCTGGAAATAGCACTCCAAAGCTTTCAGAAGGGCACTTGCTTCTTGAAGAATCTGGAACAAGTTTAATGGCTTCTGCTTAAGAAGAGCCTTTTCACATACCCTGAGGTGCAGTCTTTTTTTTTTTTTTTTTTTTTTTTTTTTTTTTTTTTTT